TATACATTGCACTCCTTCCTCTCAGCATTTCCATACGAATTTCTGAGTTTCTACTCCTTCGTTTTGTATTTTTTAACTTCAAACAACGCAACTGTAAGTGTGATTTGCTACCGAACTTTGTGTTCGCTGAAACNCTTATTTCCGAAGTACACAAATAACTTCAACAAGAATCTCACCCCACCGGAACTTCAAGATTGGCCAATGCATCCTTTGCCTGACAGAAGAAAAAAGTATTAGGAATATGGGTAGAATTGCAACTAAAAAAGCAAAAATAAAAGAAGACTAGTATCCTAAGTCCTAACTAGGTTCTATATATGGTGACAAAAGAAGGAAGAAAGAGCACACTGTCCCCAGATTGCACAGATAAGCATTACCGAGTCAGAGTTTTGAACTACAAAGTCCTACCCGATCATTTTACCGCTAACTTTACATCATGACCCCAGCCAAAAGACTTTTATCTCAATTTTATACCCATCTTTTTGTGGAGGTAAAGATTGTGTTAGAGAAACAAACTGGAAAAAAAGTAGTAGAAAACAACTACAAATGACTTTATAAGCTCGCTCAAGAATAATATAAATCGGACCTCATAATTTGAAGAGCTGGGGAGCGAATATGTAAAGGAGACTAACAATAATAACTCTTAACTTTATGGGACCAAGATTGGAAGCTTAATAATTAAAGAGGAACCTAACGATAAGATCCTAAAAGATCAGGAAACAAAATATAATACTCCTAAATCAACCCGAAACAAAGATAATAAAGGAAAGACAGGTTGCCCTATTAACATAAACAAATAAATAAACAAAAAGAAAGATTTAAATTTTAATCAAATTATGGTTGCTAAAATTAAATTCGGGCTACAGCAAAATGAACAAAAAAGCTTCTCTTTTTGTCCTCAGTAGAAGTGTGTCTTTCATCATTCTTATTAGGACGGAACAAACTTGACTATCAGTTTCCACTTTTAAGATCAACTAGTAGTTCCACATTTCAACTAGTGGCGGAGCTATGTGGAGGAAAGGCCCCTTCATTAAAAATTATACTGTGCAAGTAGAGCCAAAATGAATTTTGTTTGGTTATATATTAGTTGTCAAATCCCCTTGATATAAGGAATAAAGTCTAGTGAAGTGGCAAACGGGGTCAAAAGTTGCTTTAGATTACATGTTCAAATCCTATGTCTCACATTTTATTGATTTTTCTGAATCCCCTTGTATAAATTCCTGGCCGACCTCAACTTATAGTTGTACATTTATTGGAGAATCATCAAAACAAAATATACACACACATATACCATATCAACAATAATTATAATAGGTCCGTACCTGTTCTAAAGCGAGCTTCATAAATTCAAATTTATGTTCCTCATAGCTTGCCATCTGCAAAGCAAAAGACATGATATAAGTAACAAGAAAAAAGAGTCAATCAAACAGACAAGGATTTTTCAGATACAATAACGCGTCCCACAACATCTCCAAGCCTTATAGGCATTTTATCAAACAGATGGTGTCCTACTATGAATGTTACATGTAAATCACAAAAATAAGTAAACTACATCACAATGTCAAAATATTTCTGCAAAAGAAAAGATATGCACTTGGAGAGGTGACGCTCGTTGCGGGTTTTTTTCTCGACCACTTTGCGGTTTTTTCGTTATGTTTATTTTGGGTTTTGAAAAAAAAAAAAAAAAAAAAAAAAAAAAAAAAAAAGGGAGGAAGAAACCAAAGAATTTCTCACATTATGAATTCATACTATTGATATATCTAATAGGCTTATTTATTGTGTCAAGTTGAAACAAACCCTTCTAAAATTGTGGCCCAGTAACAGAGGATGGATTCGATTTTTAAGATTGTAACACTGATAACATACTAAACTTTTAAACTTATATGTTCGGATTGTTGGACCTATATTTCAAATTTTTTTGACATAATGGATTTTATTGCATATTTAAGTCTTTAAAAAAATTCTTGGCATATAATAGGTTTTTTTATTTGGAAAACAAATAAGCCCATGACACACACAAGCAAGTAATTTCTTATTTGGAAGCATACCGAAATATTAGATTCAGGTGGCTTAGTTGAATCGCGAAAATATTGTCATTATTCTTCTATACTAGTATTTATGAACGCGTGTTGCACGTTAATAATGGCGCGTGATGGTTTAACCATTTAAATCATTTGAAAACCGAAAAATATTATTACATTAACATAATACGTGAATTCAAAATAAAAGAACATCATCAGAACTTACACAAATGATCAATTTAGTCATGTTAGTTAGATAATTAAGTATTATAGTTTAAAAGTATTTAATTTGATGGTATCTTACCAAACACTTCTTTGTAGATGATGTTTTTTTGTGTACGCTTCCTTTTACTGCTTTGGTTGCTCTACCATAACCAAAACGCTTGTTGTCGATATTGATATTCATCTTGAAAGTGCAATATATAATTGTTCGTGCTAGAAAACATATTGCGATAAATATAGTCCAATATTTAGGATGTTTGACCTTTTGCTTTATTTTACTCCATCTGCAACAACTACCGGGATATATTGCCCCACAACAAGAAACCCTTCTATCTCAAAGGTAGAAGAAGATTCAAGTACCATGGATGCTTATGTTATGCATTCTGTAAGAGCATCTCATTATTGATATTGCTTTTCCATATATATTTTATTACTCATGGCTCGCTGGTACTATCTTTCTGGTTATGTTGTTGTTATTATTCTATTTTCGCGTGTCATCTTTTTGTGTTGAGGGTCTATCGGAAACAGTCTCTCTACCCTCATGACATGGGTAAGGTATGCGTACACACTACCCTCCACATACCCCACTTGTGGGATTATACTGCGTTGTTGTTGTTGTTGTCCTTGTGCTTTATTTATTATAATTGAAAAACATAAACATACCGAAAATTATTTTCACACAAATTTAAAAGGATATTCTTTAGTTTCGGAAGACGAAAGTTAAATTCGAGGATAAGAATATACTTAGAAGCACATTGACCAGTATCATATTTTTTGCATGTATGACGTTATTGTCAAAACTTCTATATACCATCTATGTGCTATTACCTAGCATGATGGGCATAGTTTTCAATAGCATGACGGACATAGTTTTCTTCAAAATCAATCTATATGCAATGGAATATCATTTTTAACATAGTCTATTACATATATGGTGACACTAACATACATAAGAAAAAATAAACTTGACAACAAACCTGTGTGGTAGAAGGGCATTTAGTATTAGAGTATTTAAGTATTCTTCTGGGTAGTAATTGCTGGTATCATATTCTGCTGAGTCAAAACTAAAAAATAATTTATTTTTACCATGAAATTTCGCAATCAACCTTTTATATAGTCGATCAACATATTTATGGGGATTGATAACCAAGTGTTCCGGAAGAACCATTTTTTTTTATTAGACGCTCTTCTTCGTTTCTAACACGAAGCGAGAAGTTACTGAATAATGAATCTATTCTTACTTTATATATTCTTGTCAGTTGAATCTTTTTCATTTGAGACCATAAGTATAATTTTGGCAAGCTAGTTTTTACAGTCTCTGCTTTCATCGATTTTGTAACAATTGATAGTACTTGTGAGAAATCACCTTCCAAACCATTAATTTTTCACCAAACGATTTATTTATATTACATATATCTCCAGAACTTCGGTAAATTATTTCGATCATTTGACATTTAGCCATAAGCGATATATCCCATATTATCAATTTTGTTTTCCTTATAAATTTAGTATCATTGCTCTACTTTGATATATTTGTGATGGTTATTTCGGTTGTTTGAAGAGGTATATCAAATCTAAGGTGAGTGACCTAATAATAATATCATTGTTGGTACGCCATTTATTATTATTGCTAACAGTATCATGCCTTCTTGATTTGACATTTGCAAATAATACATGACATAGAAAAATTATTTCTATTTAGTTGGAGGCATCTACAAAGGATAATCCCGTTGTAAGAGTCGACTCATTATAATATAGTTTTGAAATCTTGTTCTTATTCATGATTTAACTTTGTTAGTGCTTCAACCTACACTTGTATGGCCGCTTGATTCTTAATACTATAATAACATTTTTACTTTGTGTTCTAATTTTTTCAATTTCTCACGCTCTTTTTATGGAATAAATTCATGTAACCTAAGATTTTTCTTAACTTGAAAAATAATTTTACTCGTATGATGAATTTAAAAATAATTGGATTGGATTCTCTTGCTAAATAATTAATTGAAAGATTTAATTATTTGGTCTTAACACAAAAAATATTTGATTGTATGTTGATTCAGATTCTTAATATTAGTTCATATCTTGTTTTGAAGATTTAATCTTAATTATAATTTTATCCACCATAAATTTTCTTTTCAAAGAGTAAAAAGATCGATATGATATTCCACTTTTATATCTTTATGTTTGTAGAATCATTAGTAGTATTTGACTCTTACCAACTATTTTTCTTTCTCTTCCTCACACTTTTATATTTTTAAATATTTTCTTAGTTGTTGTTTAATAATTGGGTATATTTTTCAACATTACACGAAAAATTAATTAAAAAATATATTATTTGAGTAGGAAAACAATTCAAATATAATATAAAAATTTATTATGGGGATATGTTTTCTCAATTTTAACACTTTTTGTAGTCCATTTAATATTATTTTTATTTTCTCTTGGTATTGGATACTATGGAGTGATAATGTATTGCCAATATGGAGGATTCTTATGAAATTGATTTTATTAAACCTTACTACATATGTTTAATAAGAATTTAATAGACATAATTTATTAATTTTAAAATATTAAATATTAAAAAATTAACATAGAAGGTCTTGTAGTAAAAAAGAAAGCAGGTTATTTTAGTTATATTATTTCCCTACGAGTTCTTCTATTCAATATTTTAGGACTATTTTGGTCTATCAATATACTATTCGTGCTTTTATAATAATATAGGTTCTCTTTTTTCTAAATAAATTTGGACAATATAATACATTCTCAAATTAAATTAGTAATAGCACACTATAATATGTTTTCAAATTAAATTAATAATAAATATTTTTAAGAAGTATATCCTAAAAGTAATAGGATTGCATGACTAAAAATATGTTTCTATCCCAAAAGTAATTATACTAATAGGAAACCTAACGTGTTCCTAAAGGTATTTGGTTTACACGCTAGCATGTAGTAATGAGATTCCTAAAGGTAATCATTTAGGATTCCTAAATTGTAGTATTAAAACTAATGGGATTACAAATGTCTAGAATTTCAGTTATGTCCTTTTATTGCGAGTTATTATACTTAATATTATAAGGTTATTTTTGTAAACCGATATTTTATTCATGCTTTTATAATAATATAGATAGATAGATAAATAGATATAGATATAGATATAGGTAGATGCTTACTGGGGAGATTTCAACTTTCTTCAAGAAGTGTATTACACTGTCTCTATGCACGACAAGATTATTATTGTTGTACTAAAAATTTTATGGGTGATTTGGTCCAACAATTGATTAAATATATTGTATCATTGTAACGAGTTGAAGTTACTAATATATATATTTGTTTTAACCATCTCTCTCTATATAGAGGTAAGGTGGCACCTCTCATAAACCTACTTGTCCTTTTTTTTAAAAAAGATTTTTTTGCTTTTTTGTCCTTATTTTTTATTATCTTATTTTTAAAAAATTAAAAAGTCTCTAAATACATTACTCAATTAAATAAGGAGAACATTTAAGAAAATGAAAGATAAAGAGACCTACATCACCAAGACCTTTCATTTTCCAAGAACTTTTCATTCTCTAAAACTTCTACCTTTTCATTTTCTCCTACCAAATAAATGAAGGAAAAAAGTGATAGTGAAACTATATAGTGGAATACTTCTCTTAAACAACCCGCATTTCCCCTAAAATTAATTGCATTAATTCCTCTCATTATTATTTTAGGTACACACGAGGACTTATGAGTTACATAATGCTAATTCTTTTTTATCGATTACACAAAAAGTATAGTGTCTAAATTCATTACTCATTTAAAGATAAAGAAGATGAAAACCTGTCTTTTTTTTTTTTTTTTTTTTTTTTTATAACGGTGGTGTCCGGACTAGCTTGCGTGTAGCTCGACTAATTCCACAGTATACCTGTCACCATGCCACCAACAAACAAGACTTGGATCTATACACAAGGCTTAGATAGACGAAAAAAAATATGTATTTGACTCTGCTGTAATTTGAGCCTCACAACCAGCCAACCTGTCATTTTTCAAAAACCTTTCATTTTCTATAACTTCCTATCTTACCTTTTCATTTTCTGTTCTTTGCAAAGTATATTAGGCTGGTTAGCTCAGGAAAAGGATAGTCTGGTGTTTTCAGCATCCCTGTTTATCTCCTTCAGCTGTTGTTCAGCCCTAGTACTAGAACATTGTTGCTAGGGCTGAACAATTGTGAAGGAGATAAAACTGATGGAGGAACTCAAGTTGGTGTTTAATGTTTTAGAAGCTTCTCAGAAATGATATATATATATATGCCAGATTTCTCCTTCTTGTTTGTTTTCTTTAACTTTTTATTTTTTCTACTTTTGGGTTTACTAGGGATTGGTGGGAAGATGGGGGAAGTTGGAAGATGCTGTTATGTTACTGTCATTGTTCTTTATTTCCAATTTATCTTTGTCCAATTAATGGATAGGTGTTCATTATTTGTTTCTTTGGTTCAAATCTTTTTTTCATGGAGTAAATGATTCTATTGAGAGAAGGGGGCCTTGGAGCAATGTTAACGTTGTAACCATGTGACTTGTAGGTCACGGGTTCGAACCGTGGAAGCAAGCTTGTATTAGGTTAGGTTTGTCTACATCACATCCCTTGAGGGTGCGGCCCTTTCCCAGAAACTGCATGAACACGGGCGGGCTGCCCTTTAAATGATTCCGTAGAGCAGAGAGAAATTTAGATCCTTCTCGAGTACTTTAAACGAGGTTTCGCATTACTCCGTTATGACTTTGTCAGTTAGCATCAAATGTAACAGCAGAATTGGTAAATGTTATATGTCTTTATCTTCACAATAAGTTTTCTTGTTCAGCCAATGCTGGTTTTGCTCCAAGATTGACAAGTAACTCAGTCCCTCATTACTTGAGTATCAGCACTTCAATTGAAGTACTTGGAACTTAGTGTGAATGATTTTGGTAGAAGTCAAATTCCAACATTTCATTGGCAGCCTTAAGAGACTAGAGCACCTGAAATTCTCATCTTAGGGATGTAAATGGGACAGGCCGAGGCAGGGAAAGGAAAGCCTTAACCAGCTAAAAGTTTTACCTGCCTGGCCCTCCTGTTGAGCATCTTTCATGTTTTTACCCTACCTCGTCCTACCCTTCCATATAAAGAATGACAAATCTAGGTAAAATACTTAGCAAAATAAGTTTTATGAATCTTTGTTCATGTTAAAATTAGATGATAATATTGTATGTTTACATGGATATTTGTTGTCAGTGGCGCATGCAAGATTTTTCATAAGCGGTGTCAGCATTTGAAGTAATGAACAGAGGAATAAATAACTATAATGACAAGCAGTGTCACGACACTGCTTGGGAAAGGGTGTGTCCGCCCCTGTTTGTCGTTGTTAGCTTCTATACTTTCCTATTGAGAAAGTACAGTCATTAGCCTTATTAGTGTTTTAATACTGTAATCACACTTGCATTTTATCAACTATTTTCTGAATTGGTGTGATAAGTTTTATTCGGATTACAGAAAATTATGAAATGAAGAGGTCCAGTGAAAATTAAATCTTTTATCTTTAAGAGTTTTATAACTAGTGGACTCTCTTCCTGCTTTTAGATGGGCAAACAAAAGAAAAAAAAAAAATCAATAATTAAAGAAAAAAGGAAGGTATCTATATCTCTGTATACAATTTCAACATCTTTGACCTTGGAGTTTACTCTACAGCCACAAGGGTACTCTTCTATCTATCTGTATTTTTGACTTTAGGAAAAAATCTAAGGAAGACTTGGAAATTTCTTGAAATCCAAAAATAATACTCCACTATAGCATGATTGGTTACTTACTTTTATTTTCCAGCTCCTAAAGCATGTTTCTTAGACAGTTGATTTCTTTTTATTCTACTTGACTCTACAGCTAGTCCTCAAGTCTTGAATACATTTATTGAAAATTGCTTAATAAATACATTTTACAATTGAGGGTAGAGTTGACTTTGTTTCAAAATGTATATATAAAGGAGTGGACACTCCTTTTTCCTCACATTCAAGTCCTCATTTGCTACTTGCATATGCTCTTTCACAAACAAGCAAAAAAAAAAATGGATACCAAAGAACACTACAAACCAATTTATTTGCTTCTGATTTGTCTATCAACTATCCTGCATCAAACCTTAGCTTTTGGATCAACACCAAGTGCAAGAGTTTTGTGCATAAAGAAGGAGAGGGAAGCTCTTCTCGAGTTCAAACGAGGTCTCATAGACGAAAATAATCTGCTTTCTTCATGGGAAAATGGCGAAGATAATGAGGAATGTTGTTCTTGGAGGGGTGTGAAATGCAGTAACACAACTGGCCATATACTCGTCCTCAATCTTCGTGGGAGTATTGAATCCAATCCTGATGGTACTAAGGATCTCACATTGAGAGGTAACATCAGTTCTTCATTGGTTAAGTTGCAGTATTTGAAGTACTTGGACCTTAGTTTCAATGATTTTGGTGGCCAAATACCAAGATTTATTGGATACTTCAAAAGACTAGAGTACTTAAATCTCTCATATAGTTACAATCCTTTCACTGGTCTAATTCCCACTCAGCTCCAAAATCTTACCTACTTAAGGGCTCTTGATCTTGGTGGCAATTCTTTAACATGCAAGAACCTTGAGTGGCTTCCTCATCTAATGTATTTGGAGTACTTAGATTTGAGTGCATCCTATGTGCAAGCTACAAATTGGTTACAGGAGATAATCAGGCTCCCTAATTTGAGGGAATTGCATTTATCTTCCTGTCAACTCTCCATAATCATTCCTTCATCATTTGTATCAGCAAATATTTCCTCCTCTGGTCTTTCCGTTCTTGACATCTCCTATAATGGATATTCATCTCCTGCAATAAATAGTTGGTTATATAACTTCACTAGTCTTACTAGCCTAGATCTTTCGGGCAATGATTTAGGTCAAATTGCTAGTGCCTTTGGGTACTTGAAATCTTTGGAACATCTTAGGCTATATGGAAGTGGTATTCAAGGTGGGATACCAAAGTCTGTTGAGAATTTAAGTCATTTATGCTCTCTTGATGCACGATCCAATAACTTAAGTCAACCATTTTCTGAGTTGCTTAATATCTTATCAGGGAGTAATAGATCACTTGAATTTTTGTTTTTTGAGGACAATGCACTAACTGGTTCATTGATTAATCTTACTAGATTTTCATCCTTGAGGGAATTGAGGCTACAAAACAATTTGCTGAATGGCATTTTCCACGAAAGCTTTAGACAAATTTCCAGTCTTGAATATCTTGATTTGTCTAATAACCAAATGACAGGGCCATTACCAGACTTGGCATTATTTCCATCTCTGAAAGAGTTGCGTCTGGGGGGTAATCATTTTAATGGGAAGATGCCACAAGGTTTAGGGCAACTTCACAAGCTCAAAATCTTGGATGTCTCTTTCAATAGACTGCAAGGCTTACCGGAAAGTTTAGGGAAGCTTTTCAACCTTGAAAGTTTTGATGCTCCTTATAATTTGTTAGAAGGTACAATCTCTGAATCCCATCTTTCCAACCTTTGCAACCTGAAAAGTTTAAATTTGACTTTCAACCCCTTGACTTGGAATGTTAGCCTTGATTGGGTTCCATGTTTTCAACTACAAGTTATCGGCCTTTCATCTTGTAATCTTGGGCCTCTTTTTCCAAAATGGCTTGAAACTCAAAATAGCTACTCAATTCTGGATATCTCTCTTAATAGTATCTCGGACACAACGCCTAGTTGGTTTTCAAAGTTGCCTCCCATGTTATCATATTTGAATCTCTCTTACAACCAAATCAGTGGAAAGATACAAGACTTGTCAGCCAATAATCTTGGTTCCTTTGTCTTAGATTTCAGTTATAACAATTTTTCAGGGCCCTTACCAATATTTCCTAAATTTGCTTATGATTTGCATATTAACAACAATCAGTTTTCTGGATCACTTAACTCCATATGTAAACTTCGTTCAGCCACAATCCTTGACTTGTCAGAAAATCTCTTGTCCGGAGAGATTCCTGATTGTTGGAGCCTCATGTCTGTTCCAATGATCCTTAATGTAGCCAATAACCGTATATCTGGAAGCATTCCATACTCTTTGTGTTCTTCAACGGCCTTGAGCTCTCTATATGTGCGTAAGAATAATTTAAGTGGAGAGTTCCCTGCCTCTTTGAAGAATTGCCAAGGTTTGAAAGTCTTGGATTTGGGAAGAAATACATTGAGTGGAAAAATCCCAGAATGGATAGGGACTAAGTTACCTTATTTGGGCATTCTGAGCCTTCGATTCAACAAATTCTCTGGGAGCATTCCTCCAAGTATATGTCAGCTTCAATCTATTCAAATACTGGACCTTTCTGGCAACCATTTATCTGGAACAATTCCACAAGGTTTCAGCAATTTCACCTCACTGCAACTTTTGCAAGATGGTTCAAGTGTGAGCTATGACTTTGATCCTTATGTTCCTCGAGTTGGTGTATTGTACCATGGCAATGCATTAGTCCAGTGGAAAAACAAAGAGTCAGAGTACCAGAGTACCTTGTGGCTACTAAAAACCATCGATATTTCTAGCAATGAACTAGTTGGTGAGATCCCTAAAGATTTTAGCCGAATGAATGCATTGCTATCGTTGAACCTATCAAGAAACAATTTGACAGGAAATATCATTGAAGGAATTGGTACAATGAAGATGTTAGAGGTACTTGACTTGTCAAGAAACCAGCTTTCAGGGAAAATCCCTATAGGCCTTGCTAATTTGACGTTTCTTAGTGTGTTGGACTTGTCAAATAACAACTTGTCAGGGAGAATACCGTTGAGCACTCAATTGCAAGGTTTTGATTCCTCAACTTATGGTGGGAATATTCAGCTATGTGGCCGTCCTCTTCCAGAGTGTCCTACATTTGCCCCTCCTAATCCTCAAGTTGGTTATGACAGCAATGCTAGTACTTCTCAAGAAAATGACGATGAGTTATTATCTAAAGAGTTTTATATATCGATGGCGTTGGGTTTTATTATTGCATTTTGGGGAGTTTTAGGCTCTTTGTTCTTCAACAATTCTTGGAGGACAGCATATTTCAAGTGGTTAAATGTACATTAGAAGTTGCTCCATCTTTAGCTAAGGGCCTGATGACTGAGTTTGTATTCTACTCATAGTCAAGAGATAACCTTTCATCTTTTTTCTTGAAAGTTGCTTTGCTTTTAATGTTATTGCTATATTTGAATATTCTATGGATGGCTTGCAATTAAGAGCAGCTTCTTTCTAGTAAAACCACTCTATGATATATAGATCCCAAAGGCATATTTTCTAAGCTAGCTTAAGCTTTCAAGCATAAGTAAATAATTGGAGTCATCTCCAGTAACAAGAAGAATTTACCACTGCAGCAAACACATGAAAAACCAAGAACTTAGTACTTCCTCCAAAGCAGCAAGAATAAAGTTAATAGAATTTAGGAATGAGAGAATGAGACAGTTGAATGCACACATTTTGTGTTAAAAAATTCTAGTAATACTACTAGATTACTCGTCTTAATGTATAAGCTATGTTGCTCCGACATGGCAGTTTAGGTGCCGCACCCGTGTCGACACAATACTAGTATTGGTGTGAGTATAGGATCTGTACCGGATCTTGTCAAACGTTTTTGGGTACTTTGACCACCACGGACAAAAATATTCGAGACGATATACAATTTGATTCCCGAAATTTGAAGAAAATAACATACCTTATCTTGGAAATTGATCTTTTACTTATTTACAACTTGAGAATAAAAAACAAATTCACACTTTACAAGCTATTAGTAGGTGTTCCACAAAATTTCTCATAATTTAGAGATATTTTTATATTTTAATTTTTTGAATTATTTGAGCCGGATCTCTGCGCACCTGTATCCGTACTAGAATCCATATCCCCGTATTTTAGAATTTACATCTCCATATCCGTATCGGACGCCCGCATCCGTGCCCGAACAACTTAGTGTGTAAGTGTAAGTTTCAAAAGGTGAAAATTTTGATAACCTTTCAACTTTTCAGAGAACCAAAGTTGAGCCGTTCTGCCATTTTGCTTTACTTAGTATTTTGGTAAAAAAGTCAAATACTCCGTCTTCTTTGACTCCATGAACTTGTTTGTGCTACTAGTCAAAGTGCAAGAAAATTGGATGTAAAGAATAATTTTTGTTAAATCTTTTTCTTCCCAAAGTGGGGTCACTTGTCTTTGATGTCAAACTTAAGTTGGTTATATTATTAAAATCTGTAAAATTTATTGCTAGCACGTCTTTATCTTATATCTTTAAGTTGGGTCTGAAAAGAACCTAAAATCTTGGATAGTCAAGCATTGTGTTTCCTAATTAGTCAAATACAAGTGTAGACAAATGACTTTGAAAGTTGTCATTGACTAGGAAAATAGATGCATACAAGAACCATTAATGTTAGTTGAATAGGCTAAGACTTTCAGAAATATAAAGAACTTTGTTGTTTCATGCTCATAGCTTCAAGTAAAAAACAATGGATATAAGGAAATATCCAAGATTAGATCATTTCCTTGTTACTTGGTCTTTACTGCTCTTACAGACAGCTTTTGGATTAACTTCAAGAGAAGTTAACAAAACCATGTGTATAGAAAAGGAGAGAGATGCTCTTCTTGAGTTCAAAAGAGGCCTTGTTGATGATTTTGATCGATTATCAACATGGGGTGATGAAGAAGATAAAAAAGAATGCTGCAAATGGAAGGGTATTGAATGTGACAAAAGAAGTGGTCATGTAACTGTTCTTGATCTTCACAGTGAGGTTTCATGTCCAGGCCATGCTTGTTTTGCTCCAATATTGACAGGTAAACTTAGTCCTTCTCTACTTGAGTTGCAGCATCTGAATTACTTGGACCTCAGTGTAAATGGATTTGACAGAAGTGAAATACCAAGATTTATATCCTCTCTTAAGAGACTAGAGTATCTGAACCTCTCATCTTCAGATTTTTCTGGTGTAGTTCCTACACAGTTAAAGAATCTAACTTCTTTGAGGATTCTTGATCTTGGGAACAATAATCAGCTAATAGTAAAGGACCTTGGGTGGCTTTCTCATCTCTCCTCCCTAGAGTTCTTGCGTCTAGGTGGTAACGACTTCCAAGCAAGCAATTGGTTTCAAGAGATAACAAAGGTACCTTCACTGAAAGAACTCGACTTGAGTGTTTGTGGTCTATCTAAATTCGTTCCATCTCCAGCTGATTTAGCCAATTCTTCTTTGATCTCTCTTTCTGTTCTTCATTTATGTTGTAATGAGTTTTCTTCTTCAGCTGAATATAGCTGGTTATTCAATTTTAGCACAAGCTTAGCTAGCATAGACCTCTCCAATAATCAGCTGGACAGTCCAATTGATGATCGCTTTGGGAGCTTGATGTATCTTGAGCATCTCAATCTTGCTGATCAATTTAATCTTAAAGGTGTTGGGGTTCCCAGTTCTTTTGGGAATTTGACACGTTTACGTTATCTGGACATGTCTAACACTCGGACATACCAATGGCTTCCTGAGTTGTTTCTTAGGTTATCAGGCAGTAGGAAAACACTTGAGGTTTTGGGGTTGAACGACAACTCAATGTTTGGTTCATTGGTTAATGTCACAAGATTTTCAGCCTTAAAGAGATTATACCTGCAGAACAATGTGCTGAATGGTTTTTTCATGGAAAGATTTGGACAAGTTTCGAGTCTTGAGTATCTAGACTTGTCTGATAACCAAATGAGAGGGCCATTACCAGATTTAGCATTGTTTCCATCATTGAGAGAGTTGCATCTTGGATCTAATCAATTTCAAGGGAGGATACCACAAGGTATTGGAAAACTATCACAGCTTAGAATTTTGGACGTCTCGTCCAATAGACTGGAAGGATTACCAGAAAGTATGGGACAACTATCAAACTTGGAAAGTTTTGATGCCTCTTACAATGTCCTGAAGGGTACAATCACTGAGTCTCACCTTTCAAACCTCTCCAGTTTAGTGGATTTGGACTTATCGTTCAACTCGTTGGCTTTGAAGACGAGCTTCGATTGGCTTCCTCCTTTTCAGCTTCAAGTTATAAACCTTCCATCTTGCAATTTGGGACCTTCTTTCCCCAAGTGGCTTCAAAGTCAAAACAACTATACTGTTCTTGATATCTCTCTTGCAAATCTATCAGATGCGCTACCAAGTTGGTTCTCTGATCTTCCTCTCAATTTAAAGATTCTGAATCTCTCTAACAACCATATCAGTGGCAGAGTTTCTGAGTTGATAGTGAATAAACAAGACTACATGGTTATAGATTTAAGTTCTAACAACTTTTCAGGACCTTTGCCACAAGTTCCTACCAATGTGCGAATATTTTACCTACATAAAAATAAGTTTTCCGGATCCACTTCTTCCATTTGTAAAAGTACAACAGGAGGTGCCACTTCCCTTGACTTGTCACACAACCAATTTTCAGGAGAACTTCCTGATTGTTGGATGAATATGAGTAATCTAGCTGTTCTTAATCTAGCCTATAACAATTTCTCTGGAAAACTTCCACAGTCATTAAGTTCCTTGGAAAATTTGAAGNCTGCCACTTCCCTTGACTTATCACACAACCAATTTTCAGGAGAACTTCCTGATTGTTGGATGAATATGAGTAATCTAGTTGTTCTTAATCTAGCCTATAATAATTTCTCTGGAAAACTTCCACAGTCATTAAGTTCCTTGGAAAGTTTGAAGGCATTATACATACGCCAGAACAGTTTTAGCGGGATGTTGCCTTCTTTCTCACAATGTCAATTATTGCAAATCTTGGATCTTGGAGGGAATAAGTTGACAGGAAGAATCCCAGCATGGATAGGTACTGATCTACTCAACTTGCGCATTCTAAGCCTACGGTTCAACAAATTCTATGGCGGCATACCATCAATTATCTGTCAGCTTCAATTTCTTCAGATACTGGACCTTTCAGCAAATGGATTATCTGGGAAAATTCCACAATGCTTCAACAATTTTACTTTATTGCATCAAGAAAATGGTTCTGGTGAGTCAATGAATTTTTCAGTCCAGTATGACTATATTCCTCGTTCATACTTGTACATAGGAAATTTATTGGTTCAATGGAAAAACCAGGAGGCTGAGTACAAGAATCCTTTATTATATCTGAAGACTATTGATCTTTCAAGTAATAAATTGGTCGGAGGTATTCCTAAATAGATAGCTGAAATGAGAGGATTGAAATCTTTGAACCTTTCAAGAAATGATCTGAATGGAAGTATCACTGAAGGAATAGGCCAAATGAAGATGTTGGAGTCACTTGACATTTCAAGAAACCAGCTTTCTGGTATGATCCCTAAGGGCCTTGCTAATTTGACTTTTCTTAGTGTGTTGGACTTGTCAAACAACCACTTATCAGGAAGAATTCCATCAAGCACTCAACTGCAAAGTTTTGAGAGTTCATCATATAGTGGTAATGCTCAACTCTGCGGCCCTCCTCTCCAAGAATGTCCCGGATATGCACCTCCTAGTCCACGTATCGATCATAGCAGTAACATGAATCCCCAAGAACATGATGATGATGGTGAGGATTTTCCATCTATAGAGTTTTATATATCCATGGTGTTGGGTTTCTTTGTTGCATTTTGGGGAATCTTGGGCTGTTTAATTGTCAACCCTTCTTGGAGGAATGCCTATTTCACATTCTTAGCGGACATGATGAGTTGGCTCGATATGATATCAAGAGTCTGTTGTTCAAGACTGAAGGGAAAGCTAAGGGCCTCATAACTGTAAAGTTTCTATGTACTTGTTACTTTCAAGAGGTAAATTGATTTCCTCCATTAAGAGTTCTTATTCTCTTGTTGTGGTGTCTATGTGTAAAATCTCCTATACAAGCAATAAGCGAACATTTAAATTCCATCTTGGTGAAAGCTAGACTTAAAAAACATATAACCGAGGAATTACAGAAGTTCCATTTCTGAAGAGAGAATGCTGAAGTATTAGAAATTGAGTAGTGCTGAACTGTAGAAGTGGTAGACATATGAGGAACATGTTTAGAATAGCATAGATAGCATTTTCACTTTCACTCTAATCATAGGCATTTTGGCAAAATTGTGACCAACTACAATACCATATTCCACCAATCATATTGGTTTGACGAGCTTCCCATTCACGACAAACTGCAATCATCACAAGACAAATGTAAAGAAAGATTATTTTATCAATAAAACATGCTAGTAGTGTATTTCTTGATTCTTGTCTCTAATTTGTATATACAGCCT